TGACCTCACTGATCCTGAGTACAGTTTGTCTTTATAGTGATAAGACTGGAATTGTATTCATGTTTAACAAAATCATTTGAATCCACAATGATGTCCCTTTAGCAGTGAGAGAAACAAAGGGGAGAGGGAGGTGGGAAAAAAACCCTTAACTGAGTTAGTAGAGAACACCAAGCACTGTCTTCTCTTCCTCCCCCCCAACACAGTCACCTCGTAAGATACAACTCCATTAAGACTAAAACAGGGTATCCTTAGCATGGGAAAACATTTATACAAGTTTTAATTTATTTTCAAATCAGCATTTAAACGATCACATCTTACATCATTTCCTTTTACAAGCCAGCAGTTAGACAATACACATCATTTACATGCAGTTTTGGAAGGCTGCAACATAAATCAACAAAAGAAGCCTTCACTATGAATTAACTATTACAAGGCTCTCAGAAAGTCACACCAGCCTGCGTTGAGGGCAATTAGGAGTATCAACCCCAATTCTCATCTTTCTGGTGCACTCCGGTTATGCCTCAGAACTCCCACAAAAATATCCTTCCCCCCCAGTCATTGCTGCCACAAGAGAATTACAATGTCTATCTGTGAGATGTAACAGCACACTCACAACAGCTATTTTAAAGTGTTAGATGTCTTAAAAAACACAGACACACACACATACAAAAAACCAGAAGTGACCGAGCAAGGTAACACAGTTTAGTCTCAATAGCAGAATTAAGAAGCCTCTATGAACGATCAGGTGGTAGAGACTGAAATTTTAAAAGTATTAACCAGTTGCCTTTAGTTCACAGGTAATTTCTGCAATAAAACAACAACAACAACAACAACAACAAGCACACAGAAGGGGAGCAAACACCTAGTTCGAACCTTATCTTGAGACCAATTTCAGGAGTGTTTTCATTTGGTGCAAGCCAAACTTCAAATTAAGCTTACAATTGGATATGAAAAGCTAACATCTAACCGCAGCAATGCTAAAAATGCTTCCCCACTACTTGCAAAAGATCAAAAAAAACCCCTTAAGGCAGACGATCACTTTGTGAGCTGGCTACAAGTCCCAGTTACACCGAAGCAGGACTGGCCTCACTCAAGAGGAAAGAAGAGGGGCGGCACATCCATCCCCCATCCCAACCGCACAAGCCAGCAGCAAGCACAAAAAGCACAATTGCATGCTAACACCATTATTTCTTGCCGATTCCCGTGCCATTCACATCCTCCCCTGCTTGCCCCTGGCAGAAGGTGGCACAGGCTGCTGGGAGGAGGGGCGGCGGGGCCGCAGTGGGAGCTCCTGCCCGCTGAGCGCCCGCCGCGGGCACAGGGCGCTGCCCGGGCCGGCCCGCACACGCCGCTCGGCTCCCGCCAGCTGACTCCGACCTATTGAAGGGAAATTCCTCCCTCCCAATGCCAGCAAAGGCGCGGGGCTCCTTAAAAGTTTTAAGACTGTCGACCCAGGGGGTGATGTGGCCGATCCTTCCTGCCTCGGCTCCGAGGGAACGCTGCCGGCTGTACTTGGGAGCGTTTAACCCTTTGCTTTCTAACTAATCTAAGCGACGCAACTTCCACGCCATTGTTCTCGGGGTCTCCACCAACTATAAAAGGGCAAACAATTTCCATGCGGACTTTCATTCCCCGGGATTTCAGAGGAGCAGTAGAGGAGCTCTGCTTGGCCGCAGGACAAATGAGCCACCCCCACCACTGCCCTTTGCCCTGCGCTTGGCAAAGGCTTCCCCAAAACACCCCTTTCTTTTAGCTACCCAGGGCTGGGGAACCTCAGGCTCTTTTTGCCCCCCCCAGTTCACCATTTCGTAACAAGTTCCTCTTGAAACGCAAGACTTCTTCACATGGGAGAGGTGTAAGCAAGGTTAGGAAGATGAAAATAATGTAAACTCTACAGACTTCAGAATCATAGGATCACACAATGAATGGTTTGGGTTGGAAAAGACCTTAAAGGTCATGTAGCACCAACCTCTTTGTCATAGGCAGAGACACCTTCCACTACAACACGTTGCTAAAAGCCCAATCCCAGCCTGACCTTGAGCACTTGTAAGCATGGGGCATCTACAACTTCTCTGGGCAACCTGTTCCAGTGTTTCACCACCCTTACAGTAAAGAATTTCTTCCCAATATCTAATCTAAACCTGCTCTCTTTCAGTTTAAAATCATTACCCCAATTTAAGCACAGCAGAATAAAACTTAGTATTTTTAATACCTCACCGCTATGGTCTCAGGCCCACAGTACACTCCACATAAACCAACCCATTCAATGCCATAAAATCCCAGGAGGGTCCACACTGCTCTGTGACAGGGAGTAACTCCACTTGTATTTCGGTGCCAAACATCCAAGTGCTGCCCTCACATTTCCTGCTTGCTTATACATCTATACACCTATATACAGCTAAATAAAAAGCTAAGTTAGAACTAGCTACAGAAATATCACTAGCTAGAGAGATCAGCTATTTCCAGCAAGCTCAGTTAAGGCAAAGAGGAATAAAACAGGGCTGTTTTCTGCTTTTCAACAGGTCGGCGCAGTCCCCTTCCCACCGCTGCTGGAAAGCAGACTCCCCAGCAAGGCAAACGACCTTCGGCATCATCGCAGGGGTGTATGAGCTAGACAAAGAGATAACGTCATGCCCTCTCCCGCTCCTTCCGTGTCCTCCCCGCAGTGGCAGGTAGCCAACCAATCCCGCTCCCGGGTGACATCATCGCTGATGCCTATACTCGAATGTGGAAGTACATCAAACTACATCTCGGAGCACGGCTCCTCAAAGGCAACCTACACCCCACCCTCCAGTCCTTGGGGAAGACAGACCGCTTAAAAGGGAAATAAAACCATCCAGGAAGAGGGATTTCAAGAAGTGGTTGCTGGGTAGGAGGAAAGCGGAAAGCAACAAGCAAACACAGCGTAACCTCGTTTTTCCCTCGATAATGCAGTTCCTACAAAAGCCCTCAAAATGTACACACAGAGTTTCACCTTTGGGTGTTCCTGAAGCATTTTTCCTAACAAAAAAGTGACCGAGAAAAGTTAAGCAACAATTAATTTTTTTTCACATAACTTCATTATTTTAAGAAGAAAGATCACAGAATCAGAGAATATGCTGAGTTGGAAGGGACCCACAAGGATCATCAAGTCCAACCCTTAGCCCTGCAAAGGATGTTTATCACAGCAAGGAAGTCTTTTGGTATAGTACTTTTTGTTTATGTAAAGCTCTGTTAGGTGTCCACATTATCAGTCTATGTATATAAATGTGGGCAAATGCCTAAAAAGAAGAAGCAGTGCCAACCCAACCTTAAACAACTGTCAACCCACTACTGTCTGGCAGACTCTATAGCAAGCAAGGAGAGTGCCTGTTGCTCCCCCTGTTATCAGTGACACCGATGCAATGCCCTTAGACATCAGGTCTTCATTCAGCTCTTCCAAGTCAATAAATGCATGTGCTGAGTTTAATTTCTAATGCTAACTATTCTGGGAGAGTAAAATTTCTATTGTCCAGACTGTTAAACCACGGAAAACTTTGCTCGTTAACTCAAAGCATTAACAAGCAAGCCAAGAAACAATGCACCAAATTGCAATAATTAACAGGAGAGTTTCAAGTCACACATTCACACCCTACTTTTTTTTTTTTTTTTAAGAAGGGTTCAGCTGATGCAAACCCTGGGAGCAAAAGAATTACAGAAAAAAAATTAAACTGTGTCATTTCAATGATCAGAAAAAAAATGGCAGAAAAAAATTAAATGGTCATGGTTGTGTCAAAGTGCAGCTTCTTACTCATCTCCCCCCTCTCCTCTGACTTTCTGAGCCACATCTTTTTTTCCATCTCTATGCCAACAGCAGCAGCCTGGTTATTCCACCTCAAGTCTTAAAATGCAACTCACACACTGCACAGGCAGACTTACTTCTCCATCAGGAAGGCTGAGGTTCACGCCCTCAAAACACACTGACATGCGTTTCATTTGCAGAAGAGGCACCAAAGTGCTTTATTTAGTTACTGGAGCTGCAAGCAGCAGTATCTTGCCATCAGGGAAACTCACCAATTACACTGACTTGTTTATAAGCAAAAAACCCAAACCAAAACAAAAAAACCAACAACAACAAAAACCAACCAAAAAACCCAAACAAGTAGCTAGGCATTCTCAGCTACTTTCAGTTCTCTCTCCTTCCCTCTCCAAATGTATCTTGCATTTTTACAGTTTAAGCCAAGTATTAAGTCTGTGTGAATAATTAGTCATCCTGGTAGCTAACACTCACTGCAGTCATGCAATCTCAAGATTTGTTTGTTCCACTGACTGCACACTAAAGGGGAAAAAAGAAACAAAAAAAAAAGTAGGCTAGTTTCACACCCACATGGGCACTGTCCGATTTCTATTTTCTAAAGTCATACACTTGTCAAACAGGTTATTCTGGGAATTCTGGTTTTCACAAAATAAGCTTCCCTGCTTCAATCACTTATTACTGTCCCTCTGCACCCCCCATTACAGCACAGCCCAGTGGGATCGGATGCACTCGCCTCCAACTCTATAGCTTCAGCACCTTGAAGGTTTTCCAACAAGGAAACCGGGTGACAATTTTAATTAAGGCCAATGTCTTTGTCTAAAGTCACTGCAGCAGTAGCAACTTCCATGAGGATTTCCAGCAGCAAATCAGAATAAGCCTGTGGACCTATTTGTATAACCTGGCCACATTCTGACAGCGTCCACTTGGTTTGGTGGTTTCTCTAGAGGGAGCACAGGGAGGAATAAGGACAATAAAGAGCTATTTCACCATTTCAGGATGGGTACTTAGGAGAGCAATTTGTGCCCCTCTGAAAAAGCAGAAGCCAAGAGGCTGACAAACTTGTCACGGCCAGCAACAATGACAAGGACAACACTTTTACCACCCATCACTGTTCCGTTTGCCACAGCGGGTGGCTCGCCTGCAGGCGTGTGCTCAGCCCGGCGCAGGCACCGGGTACCCTCTGGAAAATCGGCAACAATAAAAGGAGAAAAAATTCTGCACAAACCTTGTAAACTTGCCCGTACGTGCCATTGCCAACCACTTCCACGAGCTCAAAAATCCCAGCGGGGTCCTAGGAGGAGGAAGGGGTAAAGGGGTCGGGGGGGGGAGGGGAGAAGGGGAAAAAGAGAAGCGGGGTTATTACATTTTTGAGAGGCGATGGCTGCTGGCAGAGCCCAACCAGCGAGCCCGGCTGCTGGCGGCGTGCAGCTGTTGCGCCCTGCTTTTCCACGCACATGCCAATACATGCAAACAAAGGAAAAGCAGCCCAGGGCCGCGCTCCCCCCGCCCGCCCCCGCGGGAGGGCTCCCCCCACGCGGCCGCGGGCCCCCCGCGCCCCGGCACCGGCCCCAGGCCCGGACCGGCCGCTCCCACCCCCGCCGGACCGGCAGCCCTGGCAAGGGGCGCGCCGGCCCCGGGGGGCCCCCGCCCCGGCCTCCGGCACCGGCACTCACCCGCAGGGAGGAAAGGTCGATATCCACCAGACTTTTTGCAGGAGAATCGTTCGCCATTTTCCCGTCTCTTCTTTTTTTTTTTCCTTTAGTATTTTTTTTCTTCTCTGTTAAATAATAGCGAGGCCGCTCCCCCCTCCCTGGAGCAGCTGTGAATTGCGCGAAGCTCCGCTCCGCTGTTCTCTCCTCCCTTCCGCCCTTCCCTTCTTCACTCCAGCCCCGCCGGGTTGAAAGTCTTCAGCATTGGGAGGGGTTGGCGGGGGGGATGATGGATAGATAGATGGATGGTGGGAGGAGGAGGGGGGAGAGGGAGGTGAAGGAAGGGAAGAAGGAAGGAGAGGGGGTGTTGCGGTTTGTCCGTCTGTCCTCCCGCGTTGCACTGCGGGGCTGGATCCTCCCGAGGATCCTGGCCGGCCGGTCGGCGGGTGAGTGGGTGGGTTGGTGGGTGCCCGCGCGTCCCCGGCGGCAGCGGGCTCACACCATGTCGCGGCGGCGGCGGCAGGAGCGGCGCCGTGGCCGGCAGCCTCTGGCAGCCTCACGATGCACCCCGCGACCGGGCATGGCACGGCACGGCTCGGCTCGGCCCAGCCCGGCCGGCGGCGCTCACGCCGGGAGCCGGCAGTAGCAGTGGCGGCCCCGCTCTCGCATGGGGGGGCGGCTCACGCCCAGCGGCGCGGCGGAGCCCCCGCCGCCTCCCAGCCCTTCCCGCGGCGCTGCCCTCGCATCCAACGGCGCCGGGCACCGGCGGGCACGGGCTGCGCGTCCTGGCGGCGGCGGGGCAGGGGCGCGGGGCTGGAGCGGGGTG